CAGGACCCCGACTCGATGTCACATCGATCTAGCCAGTAACACTTCATATCACTTTGCGGCCTCACGCACGGTGTTCCCACGGGTGTCGCCTTACCTTTGCCCGGGACCGTTTGCGCCTTTTGGCTCACGTATATGATAGTGTCGCTAGCATCCATATGATAAAGAGCCCGGGCTGACATGACTAGTCGTAAACCCAAAGTGGCACAGACTTACAGGGACAGGCATCCATGACCCAGCTTCGAACGTGTCGGTCATCAGCAAGTGGGTCCGGGCTGTAGCACTGGGCTAGTAGGACTCCGGTAAACCGGGCTGTAGCGGGCTAACAGGACTCCGGTACTCAAAGCGTGACATTTCCCCGAAGGGACAGACATAGGAACGAAGAAGGACACATGCCGGCCAGCCTAAGTGTTCCAGAGCAGTAGCAAGCTACCATGGCTCAGCGGTAACACTAGGAGACATTTCCCGGTAAGAGAGGCTACTAAAGATAAACAACTAGATAGTCAGATCCCACACATACCAAGCATTTCAATCATACACACAATATGCTCGATATGTGCAAATACAACGGAGCATCACAACATGACTCTACGACACAAGTACTTTATTTAAGGCTCAGTGAGCCATACATAACATACACACAAAGGTACGGGTCTCACGACCCAACATACAAGTCATACAATCATACAAGCCAACAGCGGAAGTAACTTGTCTGAGTACAGACAACTAGTAAAATAAAAGAGGCTTGGAAAGCCTGGCTATACTATGTGGTCCTTCACAAGCTCAGGGTCACCACCTGGGTCTTTAGCCTACTCGTTGATGTCAACATCTACATAGAACCCATCAGAAGGGGTTGCAGCGTCTTCTGTAAAATGTAGATTATAGCAACATGAGTACAAAGGTACTCAGCAAGACTTACATCAGATCCTACATACATGCTTTGACTCTTGGCTAGACTATCCTACGATACTCCAACTTGAAATAGTTTTGCGCACACGAGTCCACTATTCACCACTTCAATACACTACCGAGGATCCACCTCCGTCTTCCTACGGAAGAGCCATCCTCGGCACTCACACTTATCTTGAGGCTTTTATCAGTTTCCATTTACTTGTCTATGAACTGTATAGGCAACCAAGTAGTCCTTTACCGCGGACGCGGCTATTCGAATAGATCATGTTAACCCTGCAGGGAGTACTTCTTCATACACGCTCTCACCACTTACCGTCGTTTACACGACATGTACTCGGCAACCTTCAAGCGGAAGCCCAACGTGGGTGTCGGCCACGACCTACCTAATCACCTAAGCCTCCAGTCCAGGTTTATCGCCTATTCAGGTTCCATCCGCAGGGAGTCCGGCCGAGGTTTCCCATACGGCCCCGAACGATGTGAACAGGGTTCCCGGGATACCTAACGGGTATTCGGTACACCGTGCCACGTACCTACCGCATCACAGCCCACCCCTACGGTCAGCGCTGTCCACGGCCTCCAGTAGGCTACAAACACCAGAAACTACTTGCAACTCCTGGATGGAGAACTAGGGTGAATAAGAAGTCGAGAGGGTCCATTGGTTTCGGGCCCAATGCATGGTAGTAGCTGATTCTTAAATCACACATACAGATCTCAGTGCTTAAGGTCGGCTTCAATGAAACAACCCACCATGTACTCCTACATGGCCTCTCATCGATACCTTTACCAAATCGTGTTCACCACACCACTCTCATTACCGACATAATCATTTCACTCTAGCCCATCACCCAGATGAACCAGACCTGACACGACTCTAAGCATAGCAGGCATAGCAAGGTAGGAACAACACATACATATGGCTCAATCAACTCCTACACATGCTAGTGGGTTTCATCTAGTTACTGTGGCAATGACAGGTCATGTAGAGGAAATGGGTTCAACTACCGTAGCACACAGCAGTTTGAAACGCGTTGTCTTAATGCAGTAAAAGAGAGCAGGAGCGAGAACGTGGGATTGTATCAATATGATCAAATGGTTGGTTGCTTGCCTGATGGTTCGATGCACTGATATGGTTCTTCGTTAGGGTAATCACGGTACTCCTCGGAGGCAGAACCTGTCGCAAAGGACACCGATACACAACCATCACCAAACAATGTGCAACAATATGATGCATGCATGAAACATAGCAATATGAGTGTGTTTGAGCAAATTTGAATCAAAGATTCAAATTTCAAACTCAAACATGGCCTTTTAAAGTGTTTTTCCTTGTTCTGCTTGAAACATCAATTTAACTTGTTTGATCATGCATGAAGATAGTACAGATGGATAGATTGGATTTTTTTGATCATTTTTCATATATAATTTGTCCAATTTGGAGTTACAGAATAAAAGTTATGAATTTTTGAAATTTAAATAATATTCTAGAATTTCCTGATTTAATTTAAATCCAGAAATATAAATATTGCGCCAGCATGACGTCAGCGGTCAACTGCGGCTGGCTGGGGTCAAACCTGACGTGTGGGGTCCACACGTCAGTGACAGGGGGGTTTAACAGGGTTAATTTAATCCTAATTAGGAATTAGTGGCGCTAGGGCCCACTGGTCAGTGTCAGGGGGGGTAGTTAGTTTAACTAATTCGGTTAGTGCTAATCCTAATTAGCTAACAAGGCTGGGCCCACCTGTCAGGGACACAGGGGGGGTCCTGCCGTGGTCAAGGTGGGTCAAACCCACCGGCGACATGACGCCGGCGAGGCCCGAGACGGCGGCGCGATGCGGAAACGCGCTACAGGGCACGGGCGAGGCCGTGCTTGGGCTCGTTGGAGAGCCCTTGCTCCCGCGCGTCGAACGGTGGTGGTGGCCGTGCCTGTGGTGGACGGTACCGACGACGGCGAGCTCGTGAGCGGCGGCCGGAGTTCGGCCAACGGCGGGTTAGGCGATGCAGGGCGCTAGGGGAGGCGTTGGTGCGTGCTACGTGCTCCTGGTGAGGTGTGGAGCACGATGGTGTGCTCGGCTTCGAGCTACAACGGCTCCAGCCACGGCGGCGACGAGGCACGGCGGCGGCGAGCTTCGGAGCTCAAGGGGACGGCAACTACAGGATGCTAGGGACGACGGGGCAAGGGGGAATCGAATCAGTGGCTCACCGCGGAGCTGCAGCGATGGTTAGCGGGCTCGGGGACGTCCGGTAGCTCTCGATTCGACGGCGACGATCTCCGGTGGCCGAGGAGGGGAACGGCGACGTGGGCGGCGATGCAGGGCTTCCGGAGACCCGTGGATCGGTGGGGAGGAAGAGGGGGTCGAGGCGGAGCTCCTGAGCTAGTCGGGGGAGCGAGGGGTGGCCGGTGACGGCTGCTATGGCGAACGGCGGCGAGGGTGGTGTTCGGCCGTGTGAGAGAGAGAGCGAGGGAGAGGAGGGAGGAGCCGAGGGAGAGTGAGAGAGAGCAGGGGGGAGGCGTGGCGTCGTCCGGGGCATCGAGCGAGGAGGGGAGGGCAGGCAGGCAGCCGAGCAGGTGGCGTGGCGCGGTGGCGCGCGCGCGCGCCGGCCACACTCCCCTCCCTCTGTCGAGGACGAAGACGACAGAGGAGGGAGGCGGGCTGGGCCGCCTGCTGGCTGGGCCAGCCAGCTGGCTGGGCCGCACAGTGGAGGAGCCCAGGTAAGCTCCTTCTGTTATTTATTTTTCTGTTTTCTAATTTCTGACATTTGTTTTGATTTAAATAATATATTAAATCATTTATTTACCCTACGCCAATTTTTGCAGGAGCTAGATATATTATTCCAGAGCTCCTTTATAATTGGCATAATATTTGGACATATATTAATATATATAATTAATATATTTCCAATGCAAATATTTATGCATTAATTCCAAATGCCCAAAATAAATACCTATGAGCTTCTTAAAAATATTGGTTTGATTTTTATCTCTGTCCAATATTTTCAGAGAGCAACATGAGCATTTTCTTGGACCTTTTTGGAGAAATTTTTATTTGGATCATTTTCAGGAATGATTCTGAGGGTTTCACAATCCCCATTTCAAGTTAAATGGAAATTTTAAACATGATGCACACACTCTGATGCATGACTAGCTAGGGTGTGACACTGCGCCTCAAGAAGGGCGACTGTCACGCCTGCGGTTCCGGTAGCAGCACCTAACCTGCAGCGAACACGAGTGCACGAACTGCACGGATTTGAGTTGGGTCATAGCCTACGAGTCTTCTGGGCCGGAGCCCGTATAACTTGTGTAAGCCCATGTCGAGTGTGTGTGGTAGATACTTAAGCCAACGATGCCACTGTTAGGGTTCATTTGAATAAGAAAGTGAATTGATCTCCAACCTCTGTTGCTTCATCCCCCCACCTGCTCCTCTCGTCCTCACCCAAATCTCGGCTCCGATCTCTCTCCCTCTTCCTGGGTATTACACGACCCTAGAACTAGAGCTTAGAGGGGGAGGAGAGGAGGAAAGAGCGGTAGGGTTGAACCACTGCGGCGACGGCAGGGACGCTAATTACCTTATCTGGTTTTTTTTGTACCTTTTTTTTGTACCAAATGTGTGCCGATGCTGACTGCTGAGAGCTCAGGTAGTATTTCAGCCGCTGCGGCAGCGTCAGGGACGCGACTTACCTTATCTGGTTTTCTTTTACCAGATGTGTGCCGGTGCTGACTGCTAAGCAACTGCAAAGTTCTAGTACAAAATGGATAAAGGATCAGCAACAGATCTAATTAGGTTCAGACCTTACATCATCACAACAACACACATAATGGATGGCTACAACCTGGTTGCCAACATCTGTGATGACAGGAAAACAAAAACTAGCATGTACTAAGTCACAGGCATCTACAGCAACAGTTGCTCCTTGCTTCATCCCGCTTCTCATTTGTTACCTCACTTCTTCATTTCACAGTCCCCCGCCCGAAGGGGAACAAACACTTCGCTGTCTTACAACCGTCTTAAACGCAGGCAGCAAGACACAGTATGTACAATGATCACAGCCGATGTGGGGAAAATGTGACACATTAAATCCCACCATAAAGAGAGCTATTATGCCCATCCATAGATCCCAACGCTGACAAGGACGAGAAGAGCCACCGATAGAACTGGCAAGATCATGCGTGCTGCGAAGCCTCCCCTCTTCCTTGGTGCTCTCACATGTGACTGTAGACCACACTCCTGCTTGCTCTCCTTGTCGCTTTTCTCTGCCGTCTTCCGCAGCCTCATGCCAGAATTAGCTTCTGGATCAAGCATTGCAGCATCGGCATGTCAATAATATGTTGAATAGGCTTCGCAAAGCAGAAGCCAACAATAACAAGATAATAAGATGTATAATAGCTCAGCAGACTAGTTACCATGATCAGGCATGTACATTTGCTCATCAGCATGACTGTTGCCAGCGTCATCAGGGAAGTTTGTGTCCACATGCTCTTCAATCTGGAAGGCAAATACCAAAACATGTTAGTATTGCTTCAACAACATAGATTACAAACTGCAGCTCGTTGACAGGCATCATTGTCATGCAGGAGTTCATATAAGCTAGAACAGGCCGAATGAAGAAAGCACAGGAACAGGTCACAAAATAAGACACCTTCCACGCATTCTATAATGAAACTAACCCTAGGACATCCAATATCTATCTTTTACCACCAAAGTCCAGTTGAAGAATTAGGTCAGGAGTAAGAAAGAAGTCCTCACCTCAGCTTCCAGGCCTTCGTTTTCACTTCCATGTTCTATAATGCAACTTGACGAACCATCAACACTGGAACATGATCCTGCATCAAGGTTCGATTGTAGCCGTAACCTTCGCACTGCAGTCCCTTGTTCGGTGTTAAATGAGCTATCTGTGCTTGAACTTGGAGCTGTGTGTCGGCTCATAATATCAATCCCTGTTGCCTCAGCATCAGCTTCATCGGAAGGCATATTTGAACTTGGAGCAGGGCGCCGGGCCATAATTGTAATCCCCGTTGATTGAGCATCATCACAGTCGGAAGGCACACTTCTAGTTAGAGCACGGCGCCGGGTCATAATAGTAACCCCGGTTGACTCAGAATCATCTACATCTGCAGATGACTCAACAGATTCACTCGTACACTTCGAAGTTACAATATCTGACTCTTCACCTTCATGTTCATCTCTGGTCATGCACTCTCTACTCTCAACATTGACATCAGACAATGAATCCAGTAGCCGAAGCCTCCTCGGTGCAATGCCCTGTTGAGAAAATATATAGTTCGGATGCACAGTAGACTGTAACTGCTGATGCATGGGATTAAATCCAAATCCGTTGCTCCATACATCATTCTGCCCACTTGAATCGTCCATGCTATTGAACAAATCTTGCAAGGACTCATCGCCGGAGTCCATGGAAAGTACATCCGGATTAGTGCCATAAGGAAGCAATGCTGCATTCTCATATAATCCACTTTGTTGTGGATTTGTGTCATCTGACAGAAAATTACCGAACCAGTTTGGACCATCATATAGCAACTCGCCCTGAGCCTACAGAGAACAAACAAATATAAGAAGGCAGACGATAATCATAACATATACAGCAGATGCCAAAATAATTATTACCTGCATAAAACAAGTGTCTGCATCATACTGAACTTTATATGCAGTTGATGAATGCTCATCCGGATCAGCAATTGTTTCATTCAAGAAATCTTCCACTGAATTATGAGGTAACTGAAGTAGAAGCTTGTCCAAATCCTCATGCGATAACATGGGGGCAGAAACGGTTGCAAATTCATGAGACCCGAGATTTTCCGTCTGTGAATCAATTAGGTGAGCCAAAGAGCCAACCGACATATCAGCCTGCTTCATTATATGTGATAAATCAGTATGAGGACTTAGGACCTGAACTCACTTTGAGAGACTGTACACTTAAATAATGCATGATATAGAGGTACACAGTTCTGCTCACCTTGGGACTTTCATCGACATTACCATGAAAAGGCATGCCTAAAACATTTGCTTCATCTATCCCCGAATTGCCATTTCGGTCTGCAAGCCACCTTGTAACCGGTGTGCCCGGAGTATCAATTGTACCTGGCAACTCAATTGGACATCCATGCAGACCAGATTCAGGAGATTCCTTATTTATGAGTGTGATAGCTTCCTCGTTTGCTTCCATGTTGTCAGGAGTTGAACGAGATGGAGTGGGAGAGTAGCCACTTCTATCCATTTCCTCTGGAATGGAGCGCTCAGTTTTCTCCAATTGCTTTTGAAATAGGCGGTAGAGAACATAACCACCCTGAAAGTACACAAATATCACAGCAGAAGTATCAGACAACGAGGTAGTAGTAACCATTTCCAATCCAGGGGCAATTTTCTTTTTGTTTATTTTGACTGCTCAAAGCGTGCAGACAATCGGATTTGTACTGTGTTGATTATGTGGTTACTTCATTTTACAGTCTAAAATCAAACTAGTAGGTTTCAGAAGATGTTGGTCAATGAGCCTGTTATATCTAAGAACTTAGAACCGCACTGTGAACAGAATCTAACAGCACTGCCAAGAAAAACTGAGAAAGAAACAGATAGAGGCCCATACCTGCTCGCCAGACTCAAACTCTGGCTCGGTGGTGCGGTACTCGTGCATAATCCAACCAGTGCGCTCCCCTTTCGGGGCACGTCCTCGGTGGAACACAAGGGTCTTCTTCATGCCAATCATATGCTGCTTCTTCTTCTCGCCCTTGGACTTGATGACCCTGTCCTTCCCTGTCGCCTTCCAGTACCCAGCCTCCGTCGCCCTGTTTGACCTGCTTCCATTGGGGTACTTGCGGTCCTTGGGTGCAAAGAAGAACCACTCTGGATCCTCCGAGCGGATCAAAGCTTTATCTGCAAGCACCACAATACCGGCGTCAGAAGAAATGGAATCTTCATCCAAAGGTATTGACATTCAAATTATTAAATAGCACCACGCCCAATAGTTACAACTGCATCGCACCAAATCGCATCTCGGAAAGAGGGTATAGTAGAGAAATACTGTATATAGCAGGCATCGAGGGAATCGTATCAAATATCAGCACCCGAACACCTTTTTTACTGAATTTCGCAGCCCCCAAACAGCACGATGCAAACCGCGAGAATCAGCCAGTGAATCCAACGAACTAACAAAAAAGGATGGTGCCGAGGGATCAGAATCCCCCAAACAGAACGCGCCGACGGAGAATCGCAAGAACAGACTGGCTGAAGTGGTTACAAGAACAGCAACGCGTACAAAACGGGGGAGACAAAATGGGGGGGAAATCAAACTCAGAACCCCAAATTAGGCACGAATCGCAGCGACCAAAATCAGAAGCCGCAAAACAAAGACACGACGGAGCCCCCGAGTCCAACCGCATACGAGACGATCATCCAAGCTCCAGGACCAAAACATCCCCACACACACAAGAGGTGGCAGGAGCGGCAGTACCTGGGAGGTCCCACGGCTCGCACTTGCAGACGTCGATCTCCGGGATCACCTCGACCTCGTTCTTGATCTGCCCCGTGATCTTCCCCTTGAGGTAGTGCCTGACGAGCTCCTCGTCGGTGGGGTGGAACCGGAAACCGAGCGGTAGCGCCTTGAGCTCCATCACCGTCATGCTCCTCCACTGTCCCAAGCTCTCATCCAACGACTACGAGACCCAACCCGGTAGGAGATTCGGAGCTCAGGGGATATACTTAGCAGCGAAGGAAGCGGAGGGGAGTGGATTTTGCCTAGGGTTTGGTCGGATTTGGGGATTTTTAGGGGAGGATGCGGGGAGGAGACGTGTGTGCGAAGAAAGCGAGTGCCGCGTGCCTTCCTTTACCGCGTCCGGAATTTGCTCTGTATATACCCCGCGTCCGTGTTTACCCCCTTGATAACCATAATATTACGGTTCGGCCACTGCCGCCGCACCACACCGCCCACTGTCCAGTGAACCAGTCCAGCAGTGATCCGGGGGAGTCATCAAAGGGCGTGTTTGGTTTCCTGGCCGCACCTGTCTCGCATCCGTCATGCAAAATCGAATGTGTTTGGTGTCCTGTGCGACGTACTCAGACTGGCCCGCGGATGCAAAAGGAACCCTCTCAGCCGGGCTGAGAGGAACGCAGAAATCGACCGTATCTCCGAGCCTGGCCCGCGTTTGCATCCTTTTTCTTCTGTGTCTTCTTTTTCTCTTCTCTCTCACGCATGAGATCGAGCACCCAACCCACCATTGCCGTCACTGTCGAAGCTCCCTCCCCCACCACCGGCCCGGGCTCCCTCGTCCGCCACCCGTACAGGCTCCGCCGCCGGTGCTCCTCCACGCCGACGTCGGGGGCCTCACCCACCACCGGTCCGAGCTCCCTCGCCGCCTCGCCTTGGCATCGTCGGGTTCCACAGCCGCCTCGTCCACCATCGGTCCGAGCTCCCTCGCCGGTGTTCCTCCATACCCATGTCGGGGGCCACGCCGTCTGCCACCAATCGAGAGGAAGAAGGGGGAGGGGAGCACCTGCCCGCTGCGACCCGCAAAGGGAGCCGCCTCCCCCATCGCTCCCAATCCTTCCGGCGAGCGTAGTCGAGTCTTGTCGTCGGCGTCTCCTACTGGCTGACCATTTACACCCCAGCCAACTCGTCGCCCTCCACCTCGTTTGTTCAGATTTTAGTTCATACTTGTTTGGTTCAGATTTTGATATATAACACTGAAACTTGAGTTTGGTTCAGACTTGTTTCTTTAGTTCAGACAAGTTTTTTGATAAATAAAACTGAAACTTGAGTTTGGTTCATACTAGTACAAATGCCCGTGCGTTATACCGGGCGAAAAAATATACCTGCTTCATGTGCATTGTGCACTATTTATATCCAATTTTAATAAATGTCGATGATAATGTTAAACATGGAAATTTTCTTATTTTTAATAAACGTTAATGTTTTCAAAAAAAATGGAACACTTTTTAAAGAGTAGTTAAATTATTTTTAAGAAATTGGATCATCTATCTAAAAAGGAACATTGTTTGAACAGATGTTTAAAAACAATATTGTTTTGTTTGTTTTTTGTTGTACATTTTTAAGTGGAAATATTTTTTAATAAATAGGGAACATTTTTTGGATTTTTTTGCTTTTTTTATGTGCGAACATATTTTTTTGAATTAATAATAGTGTGAACATATGTAAAACTGTGAATATGTTTAAGCTATATTTACAGTACAAGAAGGAACACAATGCCTGACAAATTAACAGCAATAGTTCTTTGTTCATCAAGAGAACGACTTTTGTTTCTAAGCTAAGAAGATTCAGTTAGATTCATCTCCTCTTATGAGCTCCAGTCAAACAGCCAACGGAATGATGACCAGACCATTGGATAAGATTTAAAGTCCAGGTGACAACGCATTCGAGCACAGATTCTCTCACACACAGAAGTCATGAATTCAGGCCAGACTGATTAGTAAATTGATGAATGGCAGTACAATTTCTTTAATTGGCACCATCCAACACTAAACGAAACAAATCAAATAGATCTAAGATTGGGTTCTGATTTATGATCACAAGTCAATAGGAGCAGAGCATGGTGCAGATCGACCAATGTATTTAGGTGCCACCGAAAACACAACAGTTCAAAATGATTTACCGTCATCTAGTAAACACAATGGAATATCAGAAGCACTTCATGAAGATACTCTATCGTAGGCCGAATATAGTAGCCTGATATTTGTGAGCACCGTCATCTAGTAAAACAGAAAAATGTGCGAGTAGCATCTGATTAAATAGTTTTGGGATCTATTTCAAAAATTATATAAGATTTGAAGCAAATGCTAGAAATTTGTCTCTTCACAACTCATATTTTGTAACTAATATGGAGCTAGAGAAATCATCTACCATACTAATTTAAAACTCTAATTAGACAAAAGAATAAGAACAAGTGCTTCTACCATAATTGTATAGTATGCATATATGAACCTGCAAGTGTGTGCTATAATTTAGGAGCATTCAACACACGAAATGCTTATATATCATGGAGCTTATTCTAGAAAGCACATACTTTTAGGCATAAAAATAAACACCTATTTGGCAGGAATGTGTTCTTTATTGAAATTAAAACAAAACAAGCACGGGAAGACCATACTGTATGTCATCTTCAGATATATCCATCAAGCTTGCTCTTCACTTTCTGGATTCAGAACCTCACCACAGCAGAAATTATAACTTTAAGGTGCAGATTCACAAGAATGACAGGACAATATTCAAAATATTTTCTTTTGAGCTTTGTTCATACGAAAAGTAATATTGTAGGTTGGATTGCTAGCTCAAGGTGCATGAGAGATCTAAAAAAACGAAAATCTCCAAGGATCTTTTACCCACGTGCACACAAATGGGCACACAACCAAAACTTATATCCTTTTAGTCTGTTGGGAAATGAAGATGCTAATATGCTGGACTTCTAACCTTCAGAAAACTCCCAATCGTCATTCTGTACGCACCTATACAGGGGCATTCTATGTACTTCTCCCAATCATCAGTCTGCCGGGAAACTAATTATGGGCTGCATAAGCTACCGGATTCACATAAATATGATGCACGTGTTGTTGGAGTTGCAACCAAAACAATCATGCATGCTCATCTTCTCTGAAGTTTGAGGCAGCGGTTCTGTGAAGTCTTGCTAGCTGGTATAAAATGCGAACTTATTATATTACCACTGCCAACCACTAATGAGAATTCTTGACCTTGTTTCCCTCAAAAACAATATTTCTCCACATGAAGTTATTTATAAAAAGGGACAACTTTCATGGTTCTAAAGCTAAAACTACAAAAATAATATATAGCTCAAACTCATGCGCACCTTCAGCTAAATAACTACAGAGACTCTGAGTGCAACCATTCATGCAGCATTGGTCTTACAAACAGCTCAATTATAAACACACCTGGGTCTGGCACTCTTGCTCAATGGATCTACCAGCCTCAGCTTCCCCCTCTGTTGCTATCTTCAATATTTTAATCTCCTCTCCAGTAGCTGTGTTATGTCCATTATCAGACCCTCGACCTGAAGAATGCATCAAACACAGTTATGTGATGCCTCGTTGGCTCCGAAGTAGTATACTTTTTTTCCGAGAAAACAGAGAAGTAGTATACTTAAAACATCATAACACACATGAGAACATTACAATTTCGTACATTATAGACAACTAATGGCTTGACTAAACTAACCAAGAACATGTTATGTTTGGTGTTTTGACAGCAAGCCATACTGCCATACACAGAGTAAGAAGCACATGTTATGGTTGGTGTTATGTTGGCTACTCTTCCAACTCAGTAGCGTCCCTGCCCGTATGGATCACCTAACCTTCTTCATAGGTACGTGTCACTACCAGAAAAAATCTACACACACCATGGCCGCCGCCATGTCCACGGAGTCATGCATGCTACGGATCTCAGGCTCGACCTCACCTATCTCCTCCTCAACCGTGTAGTTGCAGAGGCGGCCGGCCAGGTGGCATGCTACTGCCAATGCCCCGCTGGTGATCAACATCAGGGCGACCTTAGCGTAAATGAAACGGTATTTCCCCTGTTCTTTCAGCGGGAGGTATACTTTCCCAAAACTGAACATATGGACTTCTCATGACAAAATATTTGAACCCACCCAAGGATTTGAACTTATTTGTAGCGTGTATATATATATTATTGTTTGTTAAGTAGCTGGGGGGATGATCTCCCTTTAATCTGAATAAGAAAAGTACAGAAGTTGTTTATCACTCTATCCAAAATTTCACCACTACTATATTGTTCCTGTAGTTTCGGTCTATTCCGAAAAACTGTAGCATCATTATTACCAACGTTCAGTAGCTCATTGCCTCTATATAAATTGGCCTTCTAGATTGTGATTCCACTCTTTTATAAATATTTGTAGGCCTTGAAAAGCATATTAACAAATAGGTGGCTAACACAAACTTGCAAGTAGAGCATGCTGTATGAGAGAGAGAGAGAGTAGGAGGAGAGAAGAGAGCAGGAGGAGAGAGAGAGAGGTGGGGCTGCACCGTGCGTTACACATGAATATTCCTGTGGACATTGTATCAAACAGATGTTCTACAATTTGATGCAAAAACAAATCTCTAATGGTTGGGCAGAACAACGAATCAAAGGAGCAGCCAGAGCTCTCACCAGCAGGCCACATGGAGGAGGAGCTGCGCTGGTCAATGGGCCGGAGCTGGGAGGAGACGTGTCCCAGTCCCAACGTGGTTGGGGGCGGCGCGACTCACGGGGAGTGGAGTAGGGAGGAGTAGCCGGGGCGCGTGGCCGGGAGGAGGCTAGTGGCGCGTGGCCGGGAGCGCCGCACATCGCCGGCGGCACAGCAGCGAGGAGGCGCGGGGTGGGGCGATTGGCTCGGAGCGGCTAGTGGGCTGGGATCGGGGCAGGAAGACGATGCCGTAGGCGGGGGAGGATGTGTCGGGATTTAGGTTGGCCTTTTTTTATTATTAACGCTTTAGTACCACCTCGTTTATATTACGATTTTGTCCATACAAATTGTAAAAGCGTATTATGACATGAGAAGAAAGTGTATTGTGACGGTGAACCCACGGAGTCAATCCATACTTTATTATTAGGGATAGATTTTAGTTCAGACTTGTTTTACAGGTTCTCTTTGTCCAT